ACGTGGGAGACCTGGATTGAATTTCCTGCTCCTGGCTTTGGCCTGGCCCAGCCCCAACTGTGGGGATGCTGGGGGCATGAACCAGTGGGTCGAAGATCTTTATCAATCTGTCTCTGTCTCTCTGCCTTTCAAATTAACTGAAAAGTTAATCATAAAAAAAAAAGAAACAGTAGAGAGGACTTAGCCTTTCCCATTGGCCAAAAGTATCCTCTACTGCCATCTTGGTGATTTTCCTGCCATAAACGCTGACACCCCCCCCCCACACACACCGATTTTAAGGCACGTTCCAGATTTCGGGGGAGTTACCACTGCTTTGAACTGGAAGAGTAGAAAATGAACTTCCTTAAAACGTAAGAAGTTAGTGTCTGAGTAGAAGACAGTTTTGGATGGAGAGTCTAAAGCAATTTTTTTCAGAGATATAATACTTTCTGTAAGTATTAGAATACACCATTCTTTTGTATCACTCAATTCTACATACGGCTTGGGCCATGATATTCAGTTCTGATTGCATCCATGGTTGTTTTCTTATTGCATAGGCAGGGTCTTCAAAAAGTTCATGGAAAGTGTGTATGATGCATGGATTTCAAACACATTTGCATCAAAATAAGCTCATCTTTGAATTCCATTTTCCATGAACTCTCTCAAGTATCCTCATGTAATTTAGACCACGGGTTTTCATCGTCCCAAAGGACTTCCCCCAAAGTTCCACTTTCCCATCGTAACACCCGATGGCAATGGTGCCAGCTCACATGTGCTGGGTGCTGGCTGCAGACACTGCACGCCGGCCTGGGAGCCAGCTCCTGGTGCCTTCCCTGTGCTAACGCAGAAGCTGCAGCTGGGAGAGGACTGAGCTGCCACACGCGGAGGACGCTCCGGAATCCTAACCTCGGCAGAGCTGTCACTCAAGCTCAGAGACCGCTAGGAGAACACCTAGCATTTATGGGGGCCTTCACTTCGGGTGCACCTGCTACAGACGTCGCAGAAATACAGTGAAAAAGGGAAACAAGACTGGCATAGAGAAAAATATCGAATGTTCTCACTCAGATGGGGAAGCCAACAGATGAGTTCATCTCAGGAAGCAGTGGTTATCAATGCTGGGAGAGGGAAGAGAGGGGTGCTGATGGGGTACAAAATACAGCTCGAGGGGCCGGCGCTGTGGCATATGAGTAAAGCTGCCATCTGCAGTGCCAGCATCTCATATGGGTGCCGGTTCAAGTCCCAGCTGCTCCACTTCTGATCCAGCTCCCTGCTGTGGCCTGAGAAAGCAGTAGAAGATGGCCCAAGTCCTTGGGCCCCTGCACCCGCGTGGGAGACCTGGAAGAAGCTCCTGGCTTCAGATCAGCACAGCTCCGGCCATTGCGGCCAATTGGGGAGTGAACCAGCAGGTGGAAGACCTCTCTCTCTCTCTCTCTCTGCCTCTAAATAAATAAATATTTAAATATATATATATATATATATGTAGTTCAAGAAGAAGCTCTAGGGCTCCAGAGCACCGTGGGTGCCCGGGGTTAATAATTTATTGCAGATTTCTAATTTGGTGGAAGACAGGATTTCAAATGCTCCCAGCGCAAGAACGGATAAGTGTTGGAGATGGCGGATATGCTAACTGCCCTGACCTGTGCGCCTGTGTTGAGACAACACGCTGCACCCTGGAAGCACGTTAGCTAATACATGTCAACTGAAATCATCTGTTAAGGCTGTTTAGGGCGTTCCTTGTGCTGCGTGGGACAGAGACACAGTCTCAATGAGTCCAACAGACGCCGAGTGCTGAGAAAACAGCGGTGCATACATGTTCCTGGCCCTCCAGGGACTCGTGGCCTTGTCAGAGAGCCAGGTGTGAAAGCCACAGCAACCCCAGCTGCCTGTGCACCGGGCTCTGTGTCCTGGGAACTCTGCCCTGGCCCCTAATGCTGGGGGTGTAGCATCTCCTCTGCTCCCAGCCTGGGCCTGCACCATCCCCTTGGTGTTCTAAGCCTCCCTCTATCCCACTTTTGCAGTCTCTTTGTTAAACTCCGATTGGAGCCACCGGTGGCCTGCCAGGAGCCAGAGGACGCACTGCCCAGTGCTCTTCCCCTGTTACAGGTTGAGCATCGTTCTTTATCCAAGTGCTTGGGACCAGAAGTGTTTTGGAGATGGACTTTTTGAAAATTTTGGAATATTTACATATATATCTCTCACAGAATAGAGTTTCTTGGGAATGAAACCCTAGTCTGAACACAAAAGGCATTAATGTTTCATATACACCTTATATGCACAGTAGTTTTTGACAATATTTTTAATCATTTTGTGCATGAAGCAAAGTTTTGTGGCATGGAATTTTCCACTCGGGGCGTCTTGCTGGCATTCACAGAGCTTCGGTTTTTGCAGCATGTTGGATTTGAGATTCAGAGACCAGCTCTGCACAAAGTCAAAGAGGTGATTGTATTCTTCCCACGATATTTATTTTTTAAGATGTATTTATTTATTTGACAGAACTAGGGAGAGACACAGAGAGAGAGAGACAGATCTTCCATCTACTGGTTCATTCCCCAAATGGCTGCAACAGTCAAGCTGAAACCAGGAGCCAGGAGCTTCTTCTAGTTCTCCCACATGGGTTCAGGGCCACAGCACTTGGGCCATCTTCTGCTGCTTTCCCAGGCACATCAGCAGGGAGCGGGATTGGAAATGGAGCAGCCAGGACTTGAACTGGTGCCCGAGTGGGATACCAGCATGGCAGGTGGTGGTTTAACCCACTGCACCGCAACACTGCACCCCGCCTGCCCCCCTCCCCAGGGCCTTGTTGACATTCCAGCTCTTGCTGTAGACAGACACCTAACACGTGCTGTGGTGGCACTGTCCACTGCTCACCGGCCAGCTCTCTGCTCTTCATTCTTTTTTCTTTTTAATAAATCTTTTTTGTAAAGATTTATTTATTTATTTGAAAGTCAGGGTTACTCAGAGAGAGGACAGGCAGAGAGAGAGAGAGAGAGACAGAGAGAGGGGTCTTCCATCCACTGGCTCACTCCCCAATTGGCCACAACGGTTGGAGCTGTGCCGATCCGAAGCCAGGAGCCAGGAGCTTCCTCCAGGTCTTCCCACACGGGTGCAGGGGCCCAAGGGCTTGGGCCGTCTGAGAGGCCGAGGATAGCTGTGCAGGAGGATTCCAGCCTGGGTAATGGCGCTGCTGCTGACGGGGACCAGGAAGTCAGGATCGAAACATTCCCCAAAAAACAAAACAAACAAAACGAACCAGCAGCCTGCAGTGGAGATGGGAGGTGCCTTCCTGGAGAGCAGCCTCTCCGGGGCCACCTGGACTGTAGCACTCCACGCTGCATCCTGCACACGTGGGGGCCTCGCTTCAGCGTGCACATCTGGGCCCCACCCTTCTCCCCAGCTGCTGGGAGATTTTAGAACCTCCTGGGTCTGCTTCTTCATCCACATAACTGGTGTGTGTGTGTGTGTGTGTGTGTGTGTGTGTGTCACAGGGTCACTGGGAACATTAAATCAGGTAGCATCCAAGTGCTGAGAGCCGTGCACAGCATCCCATCAGCTGTTAGCCCACGAGCGAGCTTTGCATGGTCTCCCCAACTCCCTCCTTCTCTGCTCCCTGTTCATCATCCCCTGGCTCCTCCCAGTGTGTTTTACAATCAGTTCCAAACTGCACTCCCTGCCTCTGTCTAAGTTTCTCCCCAGGGCATCCTGTCCCTGCCCCCCAAGGATGCTGGGGCCTGGCCATTTTTTCAGGCTCCCTTGTGGCTTGCTGAAGAAACCCCAGACGGCCTCGTCTTGGGTTACTCCTCCCCCTCATTCACCGTGGCTGGCCTGGCCCCCAGCCTTGCAGCCCCCAGCCCGCCCCCTGCAGGTGCTCCTGGCCCACGTGCTTTAGTGTTCATGCATTCCTTTCCCGCCTAGTTCATGCTTTTTCTTCCCCAACCAAATCTGTGTCCTCCCCTCCGGCCCCCGGGGACCCCAGCACCTTCAGTCTGGACCTCCCCCTGCTGCCACTCAGTCACTGTTTCCCGCTATTCGACAGCAGGGCTCCTACACGGTTGTGCCTCTGCAGCTCCCAGGCACACACGGAGACGCATGGCACAGCGTCTCATCTGCCACAGTGTCTTAGTCCACTTTTCTGTTGCCAGAACAAAATAGCTCACAACTAGGTGATTTCTGAAGAATAGAAATGTATTTGGCTCACAGTTTGGGGGCTCGGGAATGGAATCTGCCCGAGATCTGGTGGAGGCCTCCTGCAGCATCACGGCCCAGAGAGGTGGAGCAGGTGCACCGGCCAGGTCACCTCCTCTTCTTACAAAGCTGCTAATGCCATCGCCCTCACGACCTCAGCTAATCCCAGTATCCTACCACGGGCTCCACCTCCCAATACCGTTGACTTATGAATTTGGGAACTCAGTTTCCAACACATGAACTTTGGGAGATAATTGAAACCATAGGAAGAGGTGTTTAAGTAAAATTTACTAATTATGACGGCTTTGTGTCGGGATGTGGCGAAACACGTCCCCCTGTTTCTATTATTAGCCCATTTCCTTCATTCATTGGTTATTGTTCGGGATTCCATACTGGGCCAGGCAGCGGGATTTAGATGGCAAGCAAGATAGAAATAGTTCCTGGTGGAGTTTACGTTCATGTAGGGAAACTGGATTCTCAAAATAAACCAAGAAAATATTCCCAAGAGTAATGAGATCATAAAGGAAGCTGGAACCTTTCTTCGGTGCTCTGCACCTTTTGCCTGTCCTGCGGAACCTGCGGCATGATTTGCAGGGCCCAGGGCCAAAGGAAAATGCAGGGTCCCTCGTTCAAACGATCTCAGAAGTTCAAGGTGGCCCCGCAGAGCGCTGCACCCTTCTGGTACGGCCTGGAAGCGGGCTCTGCCCCTGCGTGCGTCCCCTGAGGACAGGCAGAGGAACGGTGTCTCTTTGATCTGGCATACCGAGAGGGCGGCGAGCTGCGCGGTGGCCCGGTGTGGACTGTGCGCCAGGTTCTTATTGGTATCTCCTGCCTTTCAGACTGCTTGTCTCACTCAGCTTTACCCGTATTGTCCAGAAGGTGCTACGGGAAGCAGAGATGCAAAATCCTTGTCAACAACCACCATTTCGGAAGCCCCTGTCTGCCAGGAGTGAAAAAATACCTCACTGTCACCTACGCCTGTGGTAAGAGCCAGCCCCCACCCCCACCCCCATGGAAGACCCTGCCTCCCCGGATGGCAGTGGTCGCAGCCACAAAAGCCGTTGAGTCAGCCAGAGACCCCGGAGCCCTGTCTGCCCCCTCTCCCCAGCTCTGTCCTTTATTCTTGTTTACGACGCTCACATCAGATAAGCACTAGAATCTTCCTTGGTCAAAATGAGGCTTAACACAGCTCTTGGTGATCAGATTGGCAGCAGGTGGAGTGGGCGGGGACAGAACAAGCAAATGAGGACAAAACCGATGTCGCTGGGAACGGGGGTTGTCACTGGTGGAGGCTCTGAAATGTATCCGTGTGTCATGCCAGTTCACGGAGGTATCGTGCGGCCCCCACTTAGCCTCCCAGAAGTGCCCTGGGGCCCTCCGTGACTAGCTCGCTACACTGCCAACAGCTGTCTTATCTACACACTCACAGCGCTGCGTCAGCACACCAAATGCTCACCCCCCAGACGAGGAAAACCGAAACACGCCAGCGTTCTTTTTCCATGGTGTCTTTAAATAATCAAGTGAGACGCCTGCTTTGTTTGGATTCCAATTTCCTGGAGTTCCGGCGGTTCCTTGTTGGGTACCACGGACTTCCGGTTTGCAATCCTGTCTTGCCTGCTTTTTTTTTTTTTTTTTTAAATACAAACACGAGAGGCGAGGGAAAGCAGAGAGCACTTGCCGCCTTTGCCCTTGAAAACACCATTCTCCCCGCCAAATATCTCTTGCTGTTTTTGGGTGGGGGTAACAGAGTTATTTAAACATAATTTATGACTCATTTAAATATAATTTATAGGCCAGGTATTTCACCTGTTAAAAACCTACAAGTCAGGGCTGGCATCTTGGTCCAGATCCTTGAGCCCCTGCACCCATATGGGAGACCCGGAAGAAGCTCCTGGCTCCTGGCTCCTGGCAGGATTGGCGCAGCTCTGGCCATTGTGGCCATCTGGCCAGCAGATGGAAGACCTCTCTCTCTCTGCCTTTGCCTCTCTGTAACTCTGCCTTTCCAATAAATAGATAAATCTTAAAGAAAAAAAACAAACTCTACAAGTCAGTGATTGTTAGGGTATTTGCAGAAGTCATCATGATTGCAACTCATCATAATCAATTTAAGAACATTGTCATCACCCCCAGATGGTGCCCTGTACTCCTTAGCTGTCACCCCCGACACACACCCCGGGCGGCCACCTGTCCACTTCCTGTCTGTGGCTCTGCCACCCCTGGGGGGAGCCACACAGTCTGCGGTCTTTTGTACCTGGCTTCTTGACTGGTCCGTGCCTCCACGTTTGGTGCACCATTAGTGATAATGAATTTCTAAGTGAACCTGTCTTTCTGAGGACTCTGTGGATGTGAGTGAAGGGCCTGATCTGAGCTGGTTCAAGCCAAGGGCAATGGGCAGCATCATGGCTAGAAGGCCATCTTCAGAAGGCAGAGGAGGAGAGCAGGCCCTCATGCTGGAGTGGACACACACGTCCTCAAGGCCATGGCCACCATCTCTTGCCTCTGCTTCTCCCTCCCCCTCCCCCTCCTCCCCTCCCCCTCCTCCCCTCCCCCTCTCCCTCTCCCTCTCTCTCTTGCCCCCAACTACAGGCAGCCTTCCTCCAGCCTGAGCTGTGTGGGCCAGGGCATCCTAACAGCCCTGAGCCGTGAAGACGTGCACTCTCGCCAGGCTAATTCCAAGTTCTTAGCAGGGGCCCAGTTCCCTGGCTGGGCTGGGGTTAGGTGGTGTGCTCCTTCCGTCAGCCCTGGCCAGAGACTGTGGGATGTGGTGACTGCCGGGAGAGGCCCGGGGGGGTCCCTCCAGCTGAGGCCGGGCGTCCTTGAATGCAAAGGCCCACGCGTGCTCCAGCACCGCTCCCTCCCGGCTTTGCCGTTCTCCCTGGCAGCCTTGCTCTGCCACTCCAGCTGGCGTCTGGCCCCGCGGGTGGGACGAGCTGGACCTCATCAGGCAGACCCTGCGAGGAGACCCAGGCCACCTGTCTCTGAAATTACCTGGGTGGGCCAAGCTGGTGAGGCGGGGGGCGGGTAGGGGGTGTGGGGAGCAAGTATTTGCATGCAAGGGTGGTGCTGGTGCTCACTGGCCACGAACCACTGCTCTGTGGGCCACTGTTCTTGGGCCACAAAGGGGCGGGCAGTGCCGTTGCCGTCATTCGTGGCATTCATGTTAATTGGGCACAAGCACCAAGCCAGCCGTGGCGGTGGGTGGGGGCTGGGGAGACTGTGGTTGGATGGAGTCCTGTGTTACGGGGCCGTGAAGGGGGCCTCACCATGGCACGGGAGACGCGTGAGACTTGACGGCCGTGCGGGCGTCGGTGAAGTGGACGTGGGGAGGACGGGGCAGACAGAGCACAAAGGTTGGGAGCTGAGCCCCCGAGCAGCAGGGAGCTTGGAAGAGGGCAGCTAAGGCTTGGCAGGTGCCAGAGGGCCGAGGGCAGCCCGTGATGGGTTTTCACAATGGACACAAGCCATCTGCACTTCAGGAAGGCGTCTCCACCCTGTCCCACAGGGCTCGCTGCTCCTGCCTCTGAGAAGTTCTCCCGCAGGGCCGGCCGAGGGCTGGCTCGGGGTTTCTGGCTGGAAGGAATGATTTGGGTTGTGGGGCCTTTAGCATTTCCAGTTTTTTTCCAAATTTTTATTTCTTGTTCTTTTCATTTTATTTAAAAGAGAAAGAGCTCTTCCATTGGCTGGTTCTCTTCCCTTCAACAGCCAGGGCCGGGCAAGGCTGAAGCCCGGAGCTGAGCATTGGATCTGGGTCTCCTACATGGGTGGCAGGGACCCAGGCACTTGAGCCAGCATCACCTGCTGCCTCCCGGGGTGCACACGAGCAGGAAGCTGGAATGGGAGCAGAGCTGGGGCTCGAACCCAGGCATTCCATGTGGGATGCAGGCGCTTGCCCCAGCCTGTACGCCTGACTGATGGCAGAGCGTGGGGCGCGTGGCCATGCACGGGGTGTGAATACGAACCACGCTGGTCTTCATCTAGAATGTGATGCAGAGTGAGGACCCCGCTCTCTCTACTTTTCCTTCCAAACCTTACAATGAGCTAAGCTGCTTAGAAATTTTGGATTTGAGGCTTTCCTCTGCCCCGGGCCAGCTTCCTCTCCCCCACCGCCCCCTGGAGGGAAGGCCCCTCCTTGTATCTGTAGCCCAGAGGCCTGGGCAGTGTCCCTGTGCTGACAGTTTCTGGGGTGTACACCCCTCCTCCTCCCGTGGTCAGGAGCAGGTGGGGTGGGCGGGGCAGGCACTGGCGTTGGGCACCTGCAGGGGAGGGGACACCGAGAGCAGAGATGGCCTCCGTCCCTACTGTAGTGAGGAAGGGTTTGGACACAGACTGGCCTGCGGCAGTGTGCTTCTTAAAGTCTGCCCTGACTCAGGCTTGACACGGGAGGTGCATTAGGCCAATAAAGAAAGGTGAGGGCTGCGCCCACATTTAGTAGCCGCTACGGTCTTGTAATCACCTCTGCTTTCAGACGGACTCAGCGGCACTGCCTGCGCGGGAGTCGCTTGGTCATCTTTAGGATCCTTTGAAATCCTCTCTGTTCCATTCCCAGGGACTGACCGCCCCACGCAGTGCAGCACCAGGGCCAGGGCCAGGGCCAGGGCTGGGCTGGGGCACGAGCCACGCCAGGAGGGGGAACCTCGTAAGCAGTGCATCCTGGAGCCCCCACTCTCCCACCTGCAAGTGAGGGAACGAGCCTCCTTGTCACTGGGCCGTGAGGAGGTCTATGTAAGGTGCTGCAAGTCGGAGAGACAGACGGAGTGGGCTCCCGTCTGCGGGTTCACCCACCCCTCGCATGCCTGCAACAGCCTCTGTTGCGAGCCAAGGGCTCAGTCCAGGTCTCCCACGTGAGTGACGGGGACCCCGCTCCCTGCACCATCACGGCTACCTCGGGGTGTCCGTGTGATAGCAGGAAGCTGGAATAGAATATAGACCTGGGACTGGAACCCAGGCACGCCAACGTGGGATGCAGGCGTCCCAAGTGGTGTTTTAACCACTGCACCCAAGATACCCTGGGTTCCAGATCTGCGTATTAGCAACTCTCTGAAGAGTGATTTGCTAGCGTTTTCACAAATGTCTCCACGGTGGAGAGGGGCGTTTAGAGACGATGACAAACCCCATCCAGGTTCTCCACCCCATCCCCATGCGGAGCCAGTTTGCAACTTGGAGCAAGGATCTGACGGGATTGTTGACACTTGATATTTAACAAGTCCTCAAAGAGGCCGGCGCCGCGGCTCACTAGGCTAATCCTCCGCCTGTGGCGCCCGCACACCAGGTTCTAGTCCCGGTCGGGGCGCCAGATTCTGTCCCGGTTGCTCCTCTTCCAGTCCAGCTCTCTGCTGTGGCCCCGGAAGGCAGTGGAGGATGGCCCAAGTGCTTGGGTCCTGCACCTGCATGGGAGACTAGGAGGAAGTACCTGGCTCCTGGCTTCGGATCGGCGTAGCACGCCGGCCATAGCAGCCATTTGAGGGGTGAACCAACAGAAGGAAGACCTTTCTCCTCTCTGTCTCTCTCTCACTGTCTAACTCTGCCTGTCAAAAAAAAAAAAAAAAAAAAAAGTCCTCAAAGAGGTCTAGCGTGGTGGCCTTGTGGGTTAAGTCACCGGCTGCTACACGACATCCCATATGGGCGCCAGTTATGTCCCCAGCTGCTCCACTTCTGATCCAGCTCCTTGCTAATGAGCCTGGGAAAGCAGCAGAAGATGGCCCAAGTGCTTAGGCCACTGCCACACACAGGGGAGACCTGGATGGAGTTCCAGGTTCCTGTCTTTGGCCTGGCCGTTGTGGCCATTTGGAGAAGGAATCAGTGGGTAGCTCTGATTGTCCCTCTTTCTCTTACTCTGCCTGTCAAATAAATAAATAAATATAAATCCTTCTTTAAAAATTGTAAAAATGAATAAATAAAAAGTCCTCAGAGTGTCCCCACTGGCCAAGCCATGAGCAGGTTTCCTGCCGTGGCCCGTGTCCTACACAGGCAGTTCCGTGTTTTGAGCGCCTGACTACTCCGCCAAGCTCACCCAGCACTGCGCTTGGCAGCTCCACTGTGCAGTTCCGATTCTCTCTCCAACTGCACACAGCTTCCGGCCTCTGCAGGCAGCCCAGACCCACCTCCCGCCATATTTTAAGAAGGCACCCAGAGACAGACGGGAGGAAGAGGAGGAGCGACAAGTACCAGACTTCCAGCCATCTAGCAGTCAGCGCCGTCCTCAGGGCCCAGAGATGACCAAGAGGTCACTAAATCAGAAGCCATCCTGCAGGGGCGTAGCAGCCCAAGTTGCCGCCTGTGACGCCAGCATCCCATATGGGCGCCAGTTATGTCCCTGACTGCTCCAGCTCTGATCCAGCTCCCTGCTAACGTGCCTGGGAAAACAGCAGAAGATGGCCCAAGTGCTTGGGTCCCTGCACCCACGTGGGAGACTCAGAGGAAGGTCCTGGCTCCTGGCTTCAGCCTGGCTCAGCCCTGGCCCTTGAGGCCATCTGTGGAGTGGACCAGCAGATGGAAGACCTCTCTCTGCCTCCCCCACCCCTCCCCGCTCTGTAACACTGACTTTCAAATAAATAAATAGATCTAAAAAAAGAAAGAAAGAAAGAAAGAGAAAAGCAGGCCTCTTGTAGCAGCACAGCCAAGCTCCCTGGGTGCTGTCATGGTCCCAGGAGACGTGGCGTGCCCCTGGGCCAGCCAGGGCTCCTCCTTGGAGACCCTGGACAGCTTCAGCCACCTGTGCCTCCTTGCTGTGAGCCCAGGAAAGTGACCCTTCCTGGCACAAAAGCGCCAGGGCCTCCTGTCCGTGGAAATGTCACAACTCCTGGGACATCCTCAGAAGAACTGAGTCAGGCACTCTGAGCAAGGCAGCGAGGTTTTTCTGCAGCTGGCCGTGAACCACCCGGTCTTTTCTTATGCAGCAGTGCAGTGGGGCGCGCATGGTTTGCCTTGGCTTTGCTTCTGTTTCCTGTTGCCTTTTCTCCCAGATGTCAGCTGGGCTAAAGAACAAACAGAAACCAGCAGCCTTCTGCCGTGGGGATATCTGATTTCCTCTCCCTTCTGCGGGCCGCGCAGCGGGGCCCTCGGCCTTGGATCTCTCGCTTTGTTCCGTGTTGCAGCTGCTACTGTCACCTGTCCCGATGCCGACACCTGAGGCCGTGCTGTCCCCGCCTCCCCATGTCTCTCACATCCAGCCAGTCACTCTAGCGGAGATCTGAGAATGTTCTTTGGGTGTATTCCGGGAGCAAGGAGACCCAGAGCTGGGGCTGGGAGAGCTGAGCAGGAGCTGGCCGTGGTCATTTTACTCTACTCTGTCCCGAGGGAGCTCGTGTTCCCAGTTACAGGTTAGATATTCACTTTGACATTCACCCACTTTCAGTGAATGTAATTCAGAGGTTTTCAGTACACATAAGAGTTATGCAACCATTGGGGCCGGCGCTGTGGCACAGCGGCTTAACGCCCTGGCCTGAAGCGCCAGCATTCCATATGGGCACCGGTTCGAGTCCCAGCTGCTCCTCTTCCAATCCAACTCTCTGCCTGAGAGTTGGCCTGGAAAGCAGTAGACGATGGCCCAAGTGCTTGGGCCCCTGCACCTGTGTGGGAGACCCGGAAGAAGCTCCTGGCTCCTGGCTTTGGATCGGCGCAGCTCTGGCCGTTGTGGCCAACTGGGGAGTGAACCAGCAGATGGAAGATCTCTCTCTCTCTCTCTCTGTTTGTGCTTCTCTGTAAGTCTGCGTTTCAAATAAATAAATACATCTTTAAAAAAAAAAAAAGACTTAATGCAACCAGCGCCGTGCCCTGATTTTAAAGCATTTCGACAGTCCCCAGAAGTTTCCTTGTGCTAGTTGCGATCCCTTCCCCTTCCAGCCCTGCTCCTGGGACGCAGTCATCTACTTCCCGTCCCTGGATTTGCCTTTTCCGGCTATTTCCTGGGAACAGAATGACGAGGACAGTGGAGGGTTTTGTGGGCATGGCTTTTGTGGGTGTGGCTTCTTTTGGCACATACAGCGGTTCTGAGGTTCATCGCTGCAGTGTAGATGGGCTCTGAGTCTTTCTGTTACTGAGGGGCATTCCATTGGTCCATGGACCGTATCTTGTCTATTTCTCCTATATCTCTAGGCAAAATGAGCCTAGAAGTCTTCTGGAATACTGGATGATCATATGTGATCACGTGCAGTGGGTATATGCGTGTATATCTAACAGGAAGAGTGAGTGATAATATAACAATTTCTCTTTTTTTTTTTAAGATTCATTTATTTATTTGAAAGTCAGAGTTACACAGAGAGAGAAGAAGAGGCATAGAGAGAGAGAGGTGTTCCATCCGATGGTTCACTCCCCAATTGGCCACAATGGCCAGAGCTGTGCCTATCCGAAGCCAGGAGCCAGGAGCTTCTTCCGGGTCTCCCACACAGGCGCAGGGGCCCAGGGACTTGGGCCATCTTCTACTGCTTTCCCAGGCCATAGCAGAGAGCTGGATCAGAAGTGGAGCAGCCGGGACTCGAACCGGCACCCATATGGGAGGCTGGCACTGCAGGTGACAGCTTTACCTGCTATGCCACAGTGCCGGCCCCTATAACAATTTCAAAAAGGGATTTTTAAGCCCTCTCTACATCACACTCAGCAAATATAAAATGTGTATATGTTCTAAAAATAGACCAAGTGTTTAAAATCGTTCTCTGGTTTCAGTTCCCAAGAGCATACTCTCAGCGATCGACCCAGCCGTCGTCGACCTCAGACCCTCTCTGGAGCAGGAAGATGGTGCGCACGGTAATGTCCATGCCTTACTCCCAGCATTCTCTTTGAGGAAAGGTAAACCCCGCCCCCAATCCCTCCTGCCCAGGACCACAGCCAGGCATTGGTTAGAGGGGCAGGGGATGTCGGGAGGGGGCTCTGAGCTGCTCCTTCTGGTCATGGCTGTGCTGCGGCTGGTAGTTGCCATTGGCGACCACCATTTGGTTTCCCTGCAGTCTCTTTTGCACTTCCCGAAAGAAAAGTCGTTTTGCACAACAGCTCCGATCAGAAGGAAGTCTGGGGCTCCGGGATCACAGGACGAACTCATTGGAAAGATGATTCTGCCGGGCCCCGGGGTGGACCCGCTGCGCCCATGCACGGGCCGTCTCCATCCCTGGTTCTTATTTTTATTTTTATTTATTTATTTATTTTTGACAAGCAGAGTGGACAGTGAGAGAGAGAAAGTGAGAAAAAGGTCTTCCTTTACCATTGGTTCACCCTCCAATGGCTGCTGCGGCCGGCGCACCACACTGATCCGAAGCCAGGAGCCAGGTGCTTCTCCTGGTCTCCCATGGGGTGCAGGGCCCAAGCACCTGGGCCATCCTCCACTGCACTCCCTGGCCACAGCAGAGAGCTGGCCTGGAAGAGGGGCAACCGGGACAGAATCCGGCGCCCCGACCGGGACTAGAACCTGGTGTGCCGGCGCCGCAAGGCGGAGGATTAGCCTAGTGAGCCGCGGCGCCAGCCCCCTGGTTCTCACTTCCTTACAGCATTTTGCTTTCTGACCAAAGCCAGGAGACCATTCAGACCACTGGGGTTCCTGGCAGAAGCCTCAGAGGCCCAGTGCAGCACATGACGTGTCAAGCTTTGGTGGCAGGAATTTTGTCTTCTGTGACTTTTATTCTGCTTGTTAGGGCTGCCCCCTCTAAGCATAAAAGTGAAAGACAGGCATCCATGGGGGGGGAGGGGAAGTGGCATCAGGGCCCCTCCCCCCATGCCCAAATCCTTGGGTGCTCAAGTCCCTTCCATCACATGGTGTAGCATCCGCGTATGATCCACGCACACCTTCCTGTGTGCTTTGACTCATCTCGAATGAGTCACAGAACCTTGCACAAGGCACATGCCCCTGGAACAGCTGTCATACCGAATCGCTTAGGGAATTACGGCAAGGAAACAAGTCTGCCCATGATCCGTGCACACACATCTGAAAAAATGATAGTTCCGCCCCTCGGTTGAGTCCGAGGAGGTAGAACCCAGCCACAGAGAAGGTGATATCTGCTTTGCCTGGATGTTGACTTCCTTAATAGGAAACACACAACAGCCAGCCGCCTGTGAGAAACCACCCGTGCCCAAAGCTTGGAGGCAGCTGCTGTTGACGTTCCTCTACCCTCTCGGCCACCGCGGGCTTTCCCCGTGGCTCCGCCTCTCTCCGTCCCACTTCCCTTTCTCACGAGGCCCCACCCAATCCCGGGAAGAGCCTGGTCCCTAGTGAGGGCCTGCGAGCCCTGTGCTGCCCGTGGCCAGCTCGCGCGGCTCCATGCAAGCACAGCTTCTGGAAGCAGATCTTCCCGCACGTTGCGGTCACCTCCCAAAAAGTAGCCCCCCGCAGCCAGCTCCCTGCATCACCCAGGTGCGTCTGGTCCTTGGTCCGCGGAGCTGACGGCAGCTCGGGGTGGGAACCAGGACCTTAGGTGTGAAGCCTCCGGGAGGCACGGTGAGGATGGGACGCACATCTGTCCCCGCTGCACTTTCTAAGCATCTCCAGCCCCCTTTGCATCTCATACTTTCAAGGGCCGCCTCCCACGCGCTCTCGCTAGATTCATCTCCCATGATCCCTTTCAGTGAGTTGTCATGATTCCAGCAGGGCTGGGGTAGGGGCCGCAGGGGTGCTTAGGACAGGCGAGCTGTGAGGAGCTGTGATTGACTGGTCTTGCGTTTCTGACGCGACAGGTGTCACCTTTGACCCCAGTGAGTCGAAGATTCTGCGGAAGGATGGCGTGATTGTCAGCAACTCTCTGGCGGCGTTTGCTTACATCCGGGGTAGGTGAAGGGTCCGAATCCCTGAATGCCGATGGATTTCTTAGAGTCTCCTTAACCTGTGTGCTGCTCCATTACGACGTTCAGATAATGATGGGAAAACGACTGTTTAAAAACAAAAATTATTGCACTTATTTTTTTAAAGATTTTATTTATTTATTTGACAGGCAGGGTTACAGACAGTGAGAGAGAGACAGAGGGAGAGGCCTTCCTTCCATTGGTTCACTCCCCTGTTGGCCGCAATGGCCAGAGCTGCGCTGATCTGAAGCCAGGAGCCAGGAGCTTTCTCCAGGTCTCCCATGTGGGTGCAGGGGCCACGCACTTGGGTCATCCTCCACTGCTTTCCCAGGCCAGAGCAGAGAGCTGGACTGGAAGAGGAGCAGCCAGGACTCGAACCGGCCCATATGGGATGCCGGTGCTGCAGGCGGAGCATTAACCTAGTGGACCACAGCGCCGGCCCCTGCACTTATTTGAAAGGCAGAGTTGGGGGCGGGGGGTGGAGACAGAGAGATCTTCAACTACTCTGGTTCACTCCTCAAATGACCGCAAAGGCCAGGGCTGGGCCAGGCCAAAGCGAGGGGCCTGGAATTCCTTCTAGGTCTTCCGTGTGGGTGGCAGGGGCCCAGGCACTTGGGCCATCTTCTGCTGCTTTCTCGGGAGCATTAGCAGGGAGCCAGATCTGCAGTGGAGCAGCTGGGACTTGGGCCAGTGCCTCTGTGGGATGACGGCAGCACAGTGTCAGCCCCAGAAAAGTGACTTTGAGTTTGACGCGGCAACACAGGCTTCTGAGTCCAGTGCCCAGGCTCAGGTTCGGTGGTAACCAGGCAACCAAACAAGAGAAACTATATCCACAGATGAAGGCACGTGATCTAAGACTTGGGCTCCACGGATATCTTTCCCTCTGGAAAGTGGGAGCCTACGGGGTGCGTTTCCCAGTCTAAAATGTGGAAAGGGAATTGGACGATCGAATTCCACCTGTGCTGGAAAGAAAAAAAGAGCCAAGAGTGCTCAGTCAGCAAAACAGGTGGTGCCCCACGAAGACAGGCCCCTTTCTGATGGACGAGTGCTGGTTCCCATGGTTCCCGTGGTTGCCAAGGTTTCCTTGTTCATCTTGCCTGCAAGGACCAGCAAGGCACCGCCCTCCCGACTCAGTGGGGCCCACAGGACAGAGCAAGCTGCAAAAGTGTGGATAGCCTTTCCTCACCATCTGCTCTGCAAATCTCTTTGTTTTTAATATTTTTTATTTTATTTGAAAGGCAGAGATACAGAGACAGAAGGAGAGAGAGACAGAGAGAGATAGAGATCTTCCATCTCCGGTTCACTTCTCAGATGGCTGCAATGGCCAGGGCTGGGCCAGGCTGAAGCCAGGAGTTAGGAGCTTCTTCCTGGTCTCCCTCATGGGTGGCAGGGGCCCAAGCACTCAGGCCATCTTCCCTTGCTCTCCCAGGCCATGAGCAGGTGCTGGATCGGAAGTGAAGCAGCCAGAACTCGAACTAGTGCCCATATGGGATGCTGTAGGCAGAGATTTAGCCTTCTCTGCCACAGCACCCGCCCCGGCCCTGCAGATCTTAAGAGAAACCCTATTCTGGAAATACTGACTGTTAGCATCAGCCATACCTGCCTCAATTTAGGAAGGCGGAAACCTCTGAGACCTCTGGTCAAATATGCGTAGATAGAATGCACCCCAGAACCACTATATAGGCCTGTTGGAGTTAGGGCTATCTGGGGTTTAGGCAGTGGCTTCATGAAGTTCATGGGCAAGTGAAACTAAAAGAGGAGTTCATTTTGGTGCAAAACATGCTTGAACTCCGTGCATGGTATTTTTATAATATGCATTTTCTTTCTCTTTTTTAAGATTTATTTATTTATTTGAAAGAGTTACACAGAGAGAGGAGAGGCAGAGAGAGAGAGGTCTTCCATCCACTGGTTCACTCCCCAATTGGCTGCAATGCTGGAGCTGTGCCAATCCGAAGCCAGGAGCCAGGAGCCTCTTCTGGGTCTCCCACGTGGGTGCAGGGGCCCAAGGACTTGGGCCATCCTCCACTGCTCTCCTAGGCCATAGCAGAGAGCTGGATTGGAAGAGGAGCAGCCGGGACTAGAACCAGCACCCATATGGGACGCCAGTGCTTCAGGCCAGGGCGTTAACCCGCTGCGCCACAGCACCGGACTCCATAATATGCATTTTCCATGAACAATGTGAAGACCCCTCAGGTCTTAGTATGGGAGTATTCAGTCTCATCACTCCTGCAGTCCCATTGCCTTCCCACGCCCATCTTCCTCCCGGGGTTTGTCACCTGGCCAGGGTTTGCTCTGCGAATCTGCACTTTCTTCTCCATCCCCCGACTTGTGTGTCTCGCTATTCCTGATCATTGCCAGGGGGACCAAAGGTGAGGATTTTTGTTGTCAGGTGTATCCTGGTATATCCTCCCATTTTCAAAATCCCCAAAGGGTCTCTTGGAGAAAAGGCATCACGAAAATTTTTCAAAGAGAGAATAAGGAAGGAAGAGGAGCAACAACAGTGTTACTCGCTGAGCGGTGGCCGGGCCGTGGGCTTTAGTGCAGGTGCTCTGTGGGTTCCCCGAACAGCTGACCCCGACTGCCCGGAGGCTGCAGACAGCCGTTTGTCTGCTCGAAGCTCTGCAGGCAGGAAGTCTGTCCTCAAGGCGCCGGCTGATGTGGGTTCCGATGAGGACTGTCTTCCCGTCTTGCGGACGGCTCCTTCTCTTCGTGGACTCACGTGGCAGAGAGAGGCAGAGACAGAGAGAGAGAGAGAGAGAGAGAGAGAGAGAGAGAGAGAGAGAGAGAGAGAGACCTCTTCGTGTAAAACCAGCAGTCCTCTGGAGACTAAGACTCCAGCCGCGACTGCCTTTACCCTTCATTAGCTCCTGAGAGGCCTGGCTCCAGGTGCAGCCACACTGGTGACCAGTGCTCCCATGCGTGAGCCAGAGAGGCGAACCCCACTCAGGCCACAGGGACAGCCCTGAGAGAGACTCGGACTCCCACTCTGCACTTCCACAAGCCGAGGGGCGCACGGGCTGAGCCGTTTGCCTGTGGACACCACGGACAGTGGCAGGACGAAGCCCCACACGGAGCCCTGCTCTGGCCTCTGAACAAGAACTTATGCCCCTGAGAACTCTGAGAGCCGGGAACCTCCTGCCTGCGAGGTGTCTAACTCAGCTGCCCTCACCCCTCCATCCTTACCCATGTTCATCACCCCCAGGGACCCTACGGGAGACTCGTTGTCTTAGCGTCTGTCCCGTCCCTCCAATGAGACATTAAGTTCCCTAGGACAGACGTTTTTGTATTTTTTAACTATAATAGGCTATATTTATTAAAATAGCCAAAGACACAGAAAAGACCGGCAATCATTACAATAGTTATCAAAAATTGAAACTGTGCAAAGAGGAAAACCAAATAACATGATGAAATTTACATAAGAGTCCTAAACAGGAAAACATTAGGGTACTGATTTGAGTAAGCTGTATGTGTCCAGGGATCTGGGTTTCCCAATTTGTTGGCGTACAGCTCTTTGTAGTAATTCCTGATGATTCTTTTTATTTCTGTGTTATCTGTTGTTACCTTTTCTTTTTCATCTCTCATTTTATTGATTTGGGTCTTCTCCCTCCCTCCCTCCCTCTCTCTCTCTCTCTCCTTTTTTTTTTTTTTTTTTGTTAGTTGGGTCAATGGTGTATGAATTTTGTTTATTTTTTCAAAAAACCAGCTCTGTTTTGCTGATCTTTTGCGTTGTTCTGGGTGTGGCCAGGGAGCTCTGCTCAGGGCTCCAGGGTGAGGGGAGGAGGACAGGTGTTTCGTCTTATCTGTTGTCACCGCGCCGGCCTGTGCTGGGTGCTGATGTGGGGTAGCTGCGTGGTGAGTATTTAGTGAGTGACCGAGTGGTGGATCCTGATCTGTATTATACAGGCTTTCTTATCACCCACTATTTGCTCTTCGTAGAGAATTGCTGGTTTTTTAAGATGTTTGTTTTTTTAAGGGTCTTGCTGGGCTGTTCTTTGGTTTCATTGAGGGACAAGGCACATCTATCTCAACAAACCATGACCAAACCCTAGAACAGGGTCCAAGACAGTGGCTAAAAAAAAATCTCACCCCAAGAAGCTCACAACTGAAATCACCAGAGTGCTGGTGGCGCACCCGCCCCTGGCCTGGCTGTGAACTTCCCAGGTGTGACTGTGTCGCTCTCTGGACGTGGAAAGCTCACAGTGGTTGGCCAGTGGCCAGTGTGGATATCAGGCCAAGCCATGTCAGCGTAAGCAGATGGCGAGCCAACCACAAGTGTGGGAGCCACATGCCATCCTTGTTGCTGGCAAGAGGTGCCTGGCCAACTCGCAGATGCACCACTGGTGCCACTGCAGGGTGTGACCCATGAGCTGGACTTGTGTCCCTGGGGAGGGACCCAAGTAGGAGGCCACTGGCAGGTGCATCTGGAAGTCAGGGGTGTGAGGAGGGCAGGGACCAGCCAAACCAGCTAAATAGTTGCTAACCTGAGAATCCACTGGACACTTCCCCAGGTCTGGCTGTGTGCTTTACGCAATCAGGTACGTGTGAGGACAAGTAGATGAGAAACTGCTGCGGAGGGTCCGTCCTGTGACATTGAAACAGAGGTTGGTGGGAGGGACCTCGGAATGACCCTAGGGAACCGTTTCTCCTGTGACCACCTGAACGATGTGTGAGGCTGTTTGCCCAACAGTGGGACCCCTGAGGGGTGTTTGAATTCACTCTTACATCAGTGAAACAGACCACGCTGTGAATTCGTTCTAGAATAGAAGGTTCTAGAAGGCAGCTGCACGAAGCCTTGTGCCCTGGCAGGGTGCCGAGGGGCACCTGTTCCAGGGCAGGGGAACTTTTTTTCTGCCAAAGGCCATTTGGATATTTATCTACTTATTTACTAATTTAAAATTTATTCAATTTATTTGAAAGGCAGAATTAGAGAGAGAGGGAGAGAAAGAGACACAGAGAGGTCTTCTATCTGCTGGTTCACTCCCCAGATGGATTGGGCCAAGCCAAGAGCTTCATCCGGGTCTCCCACATGGCTGGCTGCAGGGGCCCAAGCCCTTGGGCCATCTTGTTCTTTCCCAGGCACATGAGCAGAGATCTGGTTGGAAGTGGAGCAGCTGATGGGGCCAGTGCTGTGGCTTGGTGGGCTAAAGCCCTGCTGCAGCACCAGCATCCCATGTGGACGCAGGTTCAAGTCCCGGCTGCTCCATTCCAATCCAGCTCCCTGCTAATGCCCCTAGGAGGGCATTGGAGGATGGCCTAAATCCCTGGGCCTCTACACCCATGACCCAGTGACCTTGTGGGCCTCACCCCTTCGAGTCCCACCTTGAAACGCGGCCTCCCATGTTTTCTTGACCACTGACTGTGTGCATTGACCTCATCTGCACACTCAGACCCCTTTGGTGAACGGATACTTCTGTCGCTGCCCTCACTCCTTGGGCAAGTGTGTGTCTCCAGCCCTTTGGCAAGCCTTGCTGTGGACTTTGGGGGTGCCTGGGGTACTGGGGTCCCAGGTGAGGAAGTAGAGGCAGAGGGACCAGGCTGTAGCATCTCCTGGGCTGGGGAGGCGTCCCTGCTTCCTGTGAAAGGCCCACTGGAAACAGAAGAGCACCTCCCACGTGGGAGAGTTGCAGTCCCCCAGGCAGCACAGCTGGAAATCAGCACAGCCTTGTCACCGCCGCGGTGGTCCTGATGAGTTCCCACGGGCTCCACGACAGGAAGTCACTGTCACAGCCTCAAGGCTGTCAGACCAGGCCCAGGACACCCCCGTGCTTTCTCCTGGGGGACCCCTAGCTGGAGAGGGGCCTTAGAGGCACTGGCCACCGTTCTGAGGCTTCCCAGGGCATAACCGTCGACGAGAAAGTGAAAAGCATTTGCTTCAACCTTTGATGAACCAAGGCTAAATTGAGAACGTCACCAGCAATAACCCACGTGTATGTTCAACCGCATGAAGAATAGCTTTATTTTTCTAGAACTTATAATAGAAAAGGAGTCACAGAAACCCTACTGTTATCCAACTGCTCCTAGACAGCAGATGCAGTGCCCCAGCGTATCGCCAAGGGCTGGGGAGCGAGCCCTGGCCTGCCCAGCTTGGGCCCCAGCCAGCATGGCTTGCCCACCACAGGAAGGGTTGGGCCAGCTCATCTCTAAGGTTGCACCTGACTCCCATTCGGAGATGCTGTGACTTCAAACCAGCCCACCGGGATGAACCCTCATTCCATGGGCTTGCCATGTCCTCCATCTTTGCTCACTGGCTCTCAGTGGATGTGACCCAGGAAGTGACACCGGCAGGAGGCGAACCTGAACCAAGGGGACCTGGAGGTTGTCCTGGCAGAAGCCAGACCTCCACTTCCCTGGAGAAGAGGGAGAGAGGGAAGAAAGGCAACTCATCTACAGGGCCCCCGGCTTACTGCTAGGTGCACTGCCCTCTCTTCGTGCCCTCAGCCATGGGTAACAGCTGCCACGCCCCAGACACTGGGCGCTAGGGACTTGACAGAACAAGTCAGAGAAGGGTGAGCCTGCACCGGGAGGTGGTGACGAGGGGAGGAGCCCTCGAGAAGTCCTGAGGATCGATGACACGGGGGCCTGGCCTCGGCTGTGTGCAGGGCAGACCCCCAGGCTGCGGGAGGAGCACGCGCGACGTGCAATGGTGCCACAGCGCGAGGGCGACCCCCGCGTGGGGGGAGGGGAGGGCCCTGCGAGCGGAGATTGTTGGGAGCTGAACTTGGGGAGTTTGGTCAGGACCTGATCCTTGTCTTAGGAGAGGAGGGACGCCATGCGGAGCCCTCGAGTTGGGCAGCGGCTGTGCATGAGAGAGGCAGGAGAGGACGCCGGGAAGCCGCAGGGTCCGCCCTGCCTTCCAGACGATTCGCTAGGTCAAAGGGCACCTCACCGGAAGTGGGAGTGCGAGCTGCCCTCCACAACACGGGCGCCGTCGCAGGATGATGACCAAGAGCACGCAGGCCTACGCACACTGCCCGGCCGTGAGAGCGGAAGCACAAGGGCAGAAAACCGGAAATGACGCAGCCCCTTGTCTGGAGAAGAGGAAGTAATCGGCGTGGGAAGAAATACCACACGAAGGCGTGACCAGGAAAATGCCAATCAAGGCGACCATCAGCTACAGTCCAGTACCCGTGGGCTTGGAAAAATGACCGAGTCCAGGTGCTGGGAGGCCGTGGAGAGTCACGGGGTTGCCCAGACATCGAAGTCCAAGCTTTGGACACCGCTCCAGCAGGGTTTGCTGAAATGGGACTGGCAGACCCTAAACCCCGCCAGCTGCCTTCCAGGGCGGTACCCGCATGCCCCAGGGACAGGGACAGGGACAGGCACGCCCGTGGCTACGTGTCCCCGGCAGTAGAGCCCTGGTGGCAACCCAGGTGCCGTCAGGATGGAGGATGACTGCACAGCCGTGCAGTATTGAAAACAAAGCCAAATCCCCGACCCCGCATTTAAAGCTCCGCCCTTGAAACATGCTTATAGGAATACGCAATAGAGGCCATAAATGTGTGAGTCGCGAGGCAGGCGGGCAAGGCGTGGAATTCACTGGTTGCCACCTAGAATGGCAAGGGAGGGGAGCTCAGGTTGTGGTCGAGGTCACCGCGCCCTCCTGGGGAGCTTATTCACAGCACAGGGTTTAAAGGGTAAGAAGCAGGCAGGACGGAGGGACACGTGTTGGCTAATGAATGTGCCTGCCCTACAGACTATGACTAAATCAGCTCCAGTCACCTGAAATCCTTGAAGATGCATACGTTAAAAGGCGCAGCAAGGATTGTGGCAGAACCTGACCTTGAACCCTGCTCTGTGTGGCTGGAGGAGGACCAGGTCCTCCCGCTACAGCAGCGCTGGGAGAGGAGGGAAGGGGTTCGTGACAGGGGCGCTCCTCAGAAGCTTGATCGGGATGGAGTCCTCCCTGCCTGCAGCTGGCCCTGCCCCGACCGGGGGTGGCCGGAAAAGGATAGGATGAGAGTCCCCCCGCATCGCTGCCCGCGGGGCTCCAGTTTGTTTTCCAAGAAGGAGCCGCGGGTGGCTGCTCTGAAAGCCAGCAGACAGGACAGGATTTGGGGTGGGGTGCGGGCTGCGCTGGGAGGGGACAGGAGGCGATGCAGGGAGGAAGGAGCGTGAGAGTGGAGCAGTGAGGCTTTGGTCTTCAGCTGGAGGAGAGAGCCACCCCCACCCCGGGAGCAGAGCCCCTGTCCTGACCCGCGGCGTTTCCAGTGTCTCTGGATCCCATCTGCCACCATGCCCCCAAATGGACACAGCTCGTCCTCCTCTCAGAAAGGAGGCTTGTCTGTGTTTGATCACATTGTCCAAATGCCACGGGCCCACAGCACGCATCGGGCTCAGAGGCCCAAGTGCCATCTCTGAGTACACAGGTTCGATTCCTGGCTCCGCTCCTGACTCCACTTCCTGCTAAAGCACTTCCAGGGAGGCAGCCATGATTGCTCAAATAGTTGCAACCCCGCCTCCCATTCAGGAGCCCTGGATGAGTCCCTAGCTCTCAGCTTCTCCCCTGCCCAGCCCCGGCCATTGCAGGCATTTGGGGAGTGTACAGGGGGATGGATGCGCTCTCTCGCTCTCTGTCCTTGTCTCTCCCTCTCTCTCTTGTTTTCTGCCTCTCAAATAAATTCCTTGGCCCTTAGGAAACATATTGTTGTTATTAGTACCGCAGACACAGCTTACTGCCCTTGTTCCAACCCAGGTAAGTTTTTAATTAGGACGCCTGTGTCAGGCACAGGCGCTGGCAACACAGAACAGCCTGCTTGAGGCCAGTGGCTCCAGGGATGGCTTCTCTGTGAGCAGAGAAGGCTGGGAGGGCAGGTCTCAAGTGTCAGCAAGAAAAATGTCGCAGCTAGACCTCCCCCATGCGATCAGACAGCACCTGGACACCTTGCCTGCACGTGAGCTCTGGTCTTCCGGTCTGGACCTCGGGGGAGGAGACCAAGAAGAGGTCAGTCCTCAGTGCTCACCTGGGACAAAGGGGCAGGCCACGTGCCTGCATGAGGAGCCGCTCAGCCGAGAAAAGGCCACGGGTGCCCGTGTGTACCCCACAAGATCTGGGTGCTGCTCCTGGCTCTTCCCAAAGAGGTCAACTGACCTTGGGAACGGCTTCCTGTCCAGGCCTCAGCTTGAGCATCTAGAGCAGGGCTCAGCCACCTGCAGCCCCTGAGCCGCCCAGGCCCAGCTCTGTGATCAAGTCTCACTGGGACACAGCCGGGCAGTGCGGCTGATGTGTTGTCTGTGGTTGCTTTTGAGCTAACACAGCAGAGCTGAATATTTGCTACAGATAGGGCGTGCGAAACTTTGGTATCTGCTGTCTGACCTGTCGCTGGGAAAACATGGCAACTCCTGATCTAGATCTCGATCTGGTTAACGGGCCATTATTTCCTGAGCGGAGGCGCTGATGTCCCAGGGGTACACAGCAAAAAAATGGAGACTTAAAAAAAAAGTGAAATTGTCCGTTCTATGTGGGGTTAATGTGAGGACTACCCAGCCGTGTGGTACGTGTGTGTTAGCATTATTTTTATTTCTGGTTTTACCATATGGAAAATGCATCTGTGTGCAGAAAAAAACACATCAGAACCTTGATTTCTATTTGCTGTTTCTACCAAAAAAACAAACAAAAAAAAAAAACAAAAAAAAACACAACGGGATGAAGCTGTGCTAGCAGCTATTTCATGAGTCTTTGAGTTCGCGTATCTGCTTCATGCTTCGATTAATTCTTCATTGTCTCCTACTTCTGCTGGCTAGCACCATTGATTGTTTACGGGAGTTAACTCAGTTCATCATAACAGCTCCATCACAGAAAGGTGCTATTAAACCCATTTTACAGGTAAAGAAACCGAGGCACAGAGAGGTCACACCTTGCCCAAAGGCACTTGGCTGGTGAGTGGCAGATCTGGGTTTGAACTCTGATCCTGAGTCCCCCGGCTAGTTGATTTGCCATAGACACGGATCTGTTGACTGTGTTCAATGATTGTGACTGTGACCGGTTAGGAGCGGATGTTCCACAGCCCCTGTCCAGGACTGGCGCTCTCCGTCCTGGGACAGACGCCTGGTCCTTTGAGGAGTCGGATGGGTGAAGGCTGACACTGGGCCAGCGTCTGACCTGCTCTCTTCCTCCCACCCACAGCGCACCCCGAGAGAGCCGCCCTGCTGTTCGTGTCCAGCGTGTGCGTCGGCCTGGTGCTCACCCTGTGCGCCCTGGTCATCCAGCTGTCCTGCGCCAAGGACTTCCGGGAGCTGCGGCTGGGGAGGCAGCACCTGGTGCCGGGCAGTGACAAGGCGGAGGACGACAGCGAGGAGGGCCCCGAGGAGGAGCACTCCTCCGACTCGGATTTCCCGGGGGAGCTGGCGACGTTCTGTAGGACTTCCTATCCCGTCTACAGCTCCATAGAGGCCGCAGAACTGGCCGAGAGGATCGAGCGCAGGGAACAGATCATCCAGGAGATATGGATGAACAGTGGTCTGGACACCTCGCTCCCGAGACACGTGGGCCAGTTCTACTGAGAGTCCTGGGGACGTCGCACAGGAGGGGAGGACCCGCCCTGGCTCCGCGTCCGTCCGTGCACTGTGCCTTCTATGAAGGAGAAGCTGGCGTGGCGTCCAGCACGGGGAAGCCAGGGCGTCGCCAAAGGGACACCGCACACTGTTTACAACGCATTCCCAAATAAACCGGAGGGGAGACGTCTTTGCTCTCTGTCTTTATTTGAAGTCGTGCCTGCCCAGCAACAAGTCTACACGGGGTTAGAACCCACGTGCGTGGGGCCCTTACACTGCTGGGTATTGTTCTGGCTCCTTGTCCTGCACTGAGTCATTTTATCTTCACAAGAAACCTCACGACATGGGATGACTGTCCCCAGCGTGTGAGCAGGAAATCTCTGGTACCCACAGACGAATTAGCTGGCGTATTTATTTATTTATTTATTTGAGAGGAAGAGTTACAGACAGAGGGAGAGACAGAGAGAGAGGTCTTCCATCCACTGTTCATGCCCCAAATGGGCTGAAGCCAGGAGCTTCTTCTGGGACTCTCATGTGAGCGCAGAGGCCCATGCACTTGGGCCATCTTCCACTGCTTTCCCAGGCACATGAGCAGGGAGCTGGATGGGAAGAGGAGCACGCAGGACACAACACTGTGCCCATATGGGATGCCGCCACTGCGGGTGGAGGTTTAGCCTACGAGTGATTTTAATCACTAATGTTATTTGTTTATTATTTGTTCAGAGAAAGGGGTAAGAATAATTTTTTCACACCTTGCAGCTCCTATGGTCTCTGTTGCAACCACTTAGCTCCACCATGGCAGTCCCCAGGCAACCACAAATGACACATAATGAATGCACAGGCCTGCATGCCAGTATGATCATATTCATGGGCATTGAAATTGGAATTTCATTTCATTCTCACATGCCATATATTCTTTTTTTAAACAAAAATTATTGTTTATTTGAAAGGCAGAGTTACAGAGAGGCTTGGGGGGGGGGGTGGTCTTCCATCTGCTGGTTCACTCCCCAGATGGCCGCAATGGCCAGAGCTGCACTGATCCAAAGCCAAGAGCCAGGAGCTGCTTCCAGGTCTCCCACACGGGTGCAGAGGCCCAAGGGCTTGGGCCATCTTCCATTGCTTTCCCAGGCCATAGCAGAGAGCTGGATGGGAAGTGGAGCAGCTGGGACTTGAACCGGCGTCCATATGGGATGCTGGCACTGCAGGCGGCAGCTTGACTGTTATGGCACAGTGCCGGCCCCCATATATTCTTCTTTGTTAACCAAGCCACTTTAGAATGTGAAAGCCGTTCTTAGTGCAAGGGCTGTGTGAAAACAGGCAGCAGATTGGATGTGGCCGTAACCTGTTCTTGTAAATAAAGTAGGATCCACAAACCCCAAAATATATACTTTCTTGCCCTTGACAGAAAAAGTTTGCCAACTCCTGGCTTTGTGTTTACAACTACAGAGCTTCTAGAGGTAAAACCCATCAGCCAAAGCACACAACTGTCCCACAACCGGGAGCCCAATGGAGTCAGCTTCCAAATCTTCCAATCCTTGGGTCCTACCCTGCTTGGGGTGGGGGTGGGGGACGGATGAAAGAGGCGAAGGAAGACGAGTTAGTGAAACTAGGGTTCCTCTCAGGAGAGCTGATGGGTTCTTTGGGAAGTCTGCCCCCCGGTGCCCAGGTGAGCGGGAGGCCTGTAGCTGTGCAGTGGAATAAGAGAAGATGGGTTCCTTTCTTTGTCCCAGTGGAGCTGAGACTATGAAAATGGTTGTGGGTTCTCTCTTATCAAATGCCTGCTGTGGACAAGTTCTGCCTTCCTCATCCCACTTCTCCTCACCTGGTCCCTGCAAAGACTCGTAGGTGAAGAAGCACAGGTTGGCGGGTTAAGTACCGGGCCCAGATCGCGTGTTTGGAAAGATCTGGAGTTGACCCAGGCCTGAGTGATCAGGCAGTGCAGGGCCCTCCCCGTAGGAGTTCCGGGGCCCAGACCTGATCAAGGCCTTGCTCCTTCTGTGCCATTGACCATCCCCAGCTGCCCACCCTGGGGAGAGGTCTCTGGTAATTTATTTTTACAAAATTAATTGGAATTTATTTAACATAAAATTAAGCTTTTTTTTTAAGATTTATTTTTATTTGAAAGAGGTACACAGAGAGAGAAGAAGAGGCAGAGAGAGAGAGAGAGAGAGAGCGAGCGGGCTTCCATTTGCTGTTTCACTCTCTAAATGGCTGCAATGGCCGGAGCTGAGCCAATCTGAAGCCAGGAGCCAGGAGCTTCTTCCGGGTCTGCCATGAGGATGCAGGGACCCAAGGACTTGGCCATCTTCTACTGCTTTCCCAGACCACAGCAGAGAGCTGGATAGGAAGAGGAGCAGCTGGGACTTGAACCGGCGCCCATATTGGATGCTGGCACTGCAGGAGGAGGCTTTACCTGCTACACCACAGTACCAGCCCCAAAATTAAGCTTCTTGAAGCGAATACTCCATGGCATTTGGTCTATTCACAATGTCGTGCAGCCAGCCCCTCTGTCTGGTTCCAAATTATTCTCACCACCCCAAGAGAAAACCCCAGCCCCTTAAGTCGCCTCGCCACCTCTCCTCCCTCCAGCGCCTGGTAACCACACGTCTGCCTTCCACGGCCTTACCTTCCCTGCCTAGTCCAGACAGGCGATCACACAGTAGGCCTGTCTGTGCCTCCCACGATGTCTTCCGGCTTCATCCACGCTGGGTATAGAGTGTTGGGACACCATTCGTCAGTGTGCTACTAACATTCCATGGCATGCGCCGACCACAAACGGTTCAGCCGCTGGGCATTGGGTGGGCATTTGGGCTGTGTCTTTTTGGAATGGTGCTGCCGTGAATGCTCGTGTCCTTTATCACAAGTGAAGCTGTGCACACGGCACCCACTGCAGCCACATCCTGTGGTTCCCACTCAGTGGCGGGTGGGGGAGGCCAAGGTGAGCCATTGGGGAGGCCAAGGTGAGCCAGAGGGACATCCAACCTTCCACCCTGCATCTGCTCATTTCAGAGCGAGCTACCCTGAAGACGGGAGGCCAAGAGAGGTGGCACTGTGGCCAGCGCCGTGGTATAGCGGGTAAAGCCAGCACCTGCAGTGCCGCCATCCCTTACGGGTGCCAATCCCAGTCCCGGCTGCTCCACTTCCGATCCAGCTCCCTGCTGATGGCCTGAGAAAAGCAGCAGAAGATGGCCCAAGTGCTTGGGCCCCTGCACCCATGTGAGGGACCTGGTTGAAACTTCTGGCTTTGGTCTGGCCCAGCCCCAGCCATTGTGGCCATTTAGGAAGGGAACCAGCAGATGAAAGACCTTTCTCTCTCTCTCTCTGTAACTCTTTAAAAAATAAATAAATAAATAAAGCTTGCAAGAGCGAGCAAGCAAGGGGTGCCATGCCGAGGTGGTGGGTGGTTTGGGTAGACTTAAATTCCTCGAGCCTTCGTCAGGGACCCGAGTCCTCCACACACAGCTCGAGGACCCGGGGAGCCTTCAGTGGCTGGCATGACTTGCTTTAGATCTCTCCTTAGGTATGTGTTCTAGATCATAGCAGAGAACGACAAGAATTCCACTGTCCAATGTCGTCATAAGGGCTTTGTTCTAATCCAAGAGAATCCTCGTCCTTTCTCTTCTGGGAGCACCCGGATCTGATTCCAGCTCCCAGAGCGGCCCCCCTTCCTGTTGCCTCCATCTCTGGTTCCCCGCAGGTGTCTCCTCTGGCTCCCTGAACATAAACACCGCACACCTGCTGGCTGCCTTCGTGGGGCTGAAGACAACATGGCGGCCAAAGGTGTTTGTTGCTCCGGGTGGAGAAAGGACGGTGCCCACAGCGACCTCAGTCACAAAGCTTTCCGTGGTCTGAGTCCCCCGGCCACACACACACACACACACACACGCAGCCCTCCTGGGACCCCTGCCCAGGCATCTGGATGCCAGGCCTGCCCAAGGCCAAGGTCAGCCTTTGGCTTGTGCAAACACAGCAAGTTATTTGTTTGCAGAGCTGAGCCCACAAGAAGCTTGTCCTGCTCTTCCCGTGGACGCGGCCTGGGGCCCTGCTGAGGCTGTGTTTGGACGGGCGCAAAGCCCGGGAGGAAGATGAGCGAAGCAGATTTGAATGAGGGATTGCCGCTGGACCGTGGTGACTGGGGAGGAAACTCCTGGGAGGAAGTCGGCCCTGGGGGCCTCGGGGCACGCACATGGGCTGCTGCCGCTGCTTGGTGCCTTTGTGTCTCCCTGGGCAGCCCCGTCCTGCTGTTTCCAAGCTGGGCAGGGGGGAGGTGGGCTGGTGTGCTGAGAAAAGAGGCCAGGCCACACGGCGGGGTGCGCACAGCTACACGGCGGGGTGTGCACACGGCGCCCCTCGCTGCCAGGGCTGACTTTCAAAGCACTCCACTTCTGGGGTTCCCGGGCTTCTTAGAGGGGCTGCTGGTGCCCACGGCTGCCATGCCGTTTGCTGCAGCTTCAGGGAGAAGCAGTGCACACCTAGGGACTCCACAAACAGCCCTCTGTTGACCGACACATGGGGCAGTGTAGGATGCTGGTGCCCCCGGCTGGGCACCCCACCCCACCCCCGGCTGCTCCCAGGGGTGACTGGCCTGCAACCGTCCTCTCCAGCAAAGACCCGGCCCTCCCCACTTTTGACAGGAGCTTCTCCCTCAGTAAGTTGCTCCTGGAGTCTCAGGACACTGGCTAAAAGCGGCCTGTGGGGAGGGTCCGTGGCCTGGGAGCTCTTCTCTCTCTCCCTTTGAAATAATAAAATAAATACAATGGTAGGCATATTTCCCCAGCTTCACCAACCAGCGGTGGAATCAGATGTCAAAGTCCCAGGTACGGCAACGTGGGAGCCCAGTCCCACTCTCCCCCTGCCTCTGCTCACCCTCCTGGGGCTGCACTCCGTGTATCTCCCCAGACCCCAAGCCCTGAAGTCCCAACGCACAGGCCCAGGGCCGGTGCTGCAGCTGCCCCTCTGTGGGTCCTGACACCCTGCAGAACTACAGCCCGGGGAGCTGCGTCCCCACTCCCCGACCCCCACGCCCACCCCTGCTCCCAGACCCCACACTGCCCGCAGCTCCCTTTGGCTCCTGGCCACTGGTCCTGCAGTAGCTGGGCCGCCAGCATCGCTGCTCTGTGCATCCTGGTCGCTGCTGCTCATGCTGCTGCCTCTGCTCCCCGTGCCCCCTGGGAAGAGTGCGTGACCCCC